GACGTCGACTGACAGGGCGAGAAACTCACCAAGCCCATCTCACTCCTGGGCACTCTCTCTATTTTCGCCAACGTCTCCTTATCGCCCATATTCCCGAGACAAAACCTCGCAGTATTACGGAACTTGCGTAATGATTCCGCAGATTGAGCGATAACGATTGGGCCTATGGACATGTCCTTCCAAAAATCGACACTGGCAGCCCAGAGCCGCAAGAAATCAGGTCCGTAAGCGGGCTGCTTCTTATCCTACAGAAAGACACATCAAGGGATTAATGAAAGGGCAAAAACAGAAGGCGAACGAACATACCGAAGACCCATGCACAATCGTCATTGGACTGATAATGTTTCCCAACGATTTACTCATCTTCTTGCCCTTCTCATCCAGGACCATCCCATGAGTGAACAGATTGGCGTATGGACTGACCGGCTCTTCGCCTGGAGTCCTTGATCCGATGGCCGTCAAGAGCTGACTCTGGAACCACCCTCGATGTTGGTCAGATCCCTCCAAGCACAAGTCCGCATCGAATTTCCTCCCAGTTCCATTTCCCGCTGCACCTCCACGATCACGGCCAACACCCATCTCCTCTAGCATCGACCAGGACGAGCCGCTATCAAACCACACGTCCATTGTATCCCGACCTTTCTCCCACGTTTCCGCTGCGGATTGGCCTTCCTCCAGCAGCCATGGTGGGACAAACTGATCGATGGGCGCCTCCCACCAGTCGAGGTTCTTCGTCTCCATAGCGTTGAGGATGAAGTCGAGGGTCGGCGAGTCGAGGACGACGCGTCCGGTGGCGATATGCTGCAGGGCCGGGATGGGCACCCCCCAGACGCGCTGCCGCGAGATGCACCACTCGGAGCGTGAGCGAACGAATGCTTCTAGGCGGTTTCGGGCTGTTTAGTTTGGCGCGAATAGGATGAGATCTCATGCAGAATTCGTCTAATAAGAGTCATAAAAGCTTACAGGATTCGGGAAAGAATGATACGTCCTTCAGTGCGGTCAACGCATCATCCTTGATGAAGTCTAGATTCGCAAACCACTGAGACGTAGCCCTACCCACGACCTGTCAAGAAAACCAAAAACAAAAAAGATAGAGAAATGAACCTGGAAACTCACGTCACGATAATCGGCTCCTTGGTCCGCCAGTCATACGGATACCGATGTTTGATCCTCTGGATTTTGACAAGGCTGCCCATTTCCTTTAATAGTGCCACCATCTCCTTGTTCCCATCTCCTAAAACTTCTTTGCCGGCAAGTCTCTCCGCATAGTCTGGACCCACAATATCAGCAACGTCTGCCGTAAACTGCCCTTTGGCGTCAACATGACAGATCAACCCGGTAGCAGAGGAAAAATCCGTATCGCGGAGGGCCTCATAGTCTTCTGCTCCATGCGCCGGAGCACAGTGTACAAGCCCTGTACCAGAGAGGGACGTTACGTGTGCGGCATTGATTATCGGCAAAAACTGGGTAGAAGTAGAGAAAACGGGTTTGTATGTGGCGCCGACGAGGTCCTGCCCTGTCGAATTCCCATAAGAATCCAACTTTACTTTGCATTACAGAAAATGGAGGAAGCAATACCTTCTACTCGGCATAAAATGTCCACTGCTCCCAGGATGCCGCTAAGGGCTTCCAGTCTCTCCTCGGCAACGATCATGAGGCTTCCATCACTAGTTTCTTTAGTCTTGCTTCTGACCAAGGCGTAGACGAGAGTTGGATGAACTGCAATTGCCTAGTAGATATTCATCAGCTAGATATTCTATTTGACGAGGTAGATGCAAACCATATTTGCCGTCAGCGTCCATGGCGTGGTCGTCCATACAAGCAGCTTCACACTCGGCGCATTCGAGATGAGAGCTTGAATTTCACTGTTCCCAAGAGTTTGTTCCGGGTCCAATTCAAATGTGATATAAACGGAGTGGGACACATGGCTGTCGCTGTATTCCAGTTCGGCTTCGGCAAGCGCTGTACGAGAGGAAGGGGAATAGTGTACGGGTCGGTGTTGTCGGTAAATCTGGTCTGTAGAATGGAGAAGGTGATATTAATGGGTGGAAGATGGTAAGGCTGCAATAAGACGGACCTTTCTCAACCATCTTTTGGAATATTCTCAATTGCCGCATCTCATAGTGTCGATCTATCGATTATAAGTAGATCATTGGGAAGAAAAATGAAATTAAAACACATACCGAGGGTCCGGTAAGTGTTTTCCTGTGAGTGCCAGTCTGCCATGACTCCAAGTGCCTTGAATTGTTCCCTCTGCGAGTCAATCTCTCGTAATGCCGTAGCTTTTGCTCCATCCCGAATCACAGAAGCCGGGGTGTCGATCGCTTTCCGCTAGACAGGTGAAAGTCAACAAGGAATTGAGGGAAAACAGGCAACGTCCGCACATGCATCTCCTTCAATGCCTTATTCTCGATCGGAAGCCCGTGACAATCCCAACCTGGCACATAACTAACGCGTTAATTCAGCCCAAGATCAACGTACAGGGAAGAATGGGTTGCATACTGGACTTTGCGGCCTTGTGTGAGGTGGAAACGGTTGATGATGTCCTTTATGACCTTATTCAAGGCATGTCCTATAACTGCGTGTCAGGCAACCATGACACGAAGAGAGCAATCAGGCGTACCCATATGTAGATCACCGTTAGCGTAAGGTGGTCCATCATGCAATACGAAAACAGGTCCCTTAGCATTCTCCCACTGCAACAGACATCAAGCTAACAATCGGCTTCTAATAACACTTCCAAAACGCGAAGCATACCTGCCACCGATACAGCTTCTCGCGCGTCAGCTCCCCATACGCAGCCTCATTCTCCTTAAAATTCGGCCTCAATGGAAACGGAGTTTTGGGAAGGAGAAGAGTGTTCGTGAAAGCCTTGTTGTCCGCAGGTTCACTGACATTTGTCGCGTTGGTCGAGAGATACCGAGATAGCGAGTGTTTCCGACATACATATGGCGCTAATGATGTCTTCCAGGAAGACGCGACGCGCGTTGTCATTGAACAGAGCTGAACGAAGGACTTCAGCTGTTCGACGCTGTTATGTACAAATTGACGAGTGAAAGTTGGTCAGCTGCAAGTCAATTTTCCCAGGCGTAGCATCTAAAAAAGGAAACACCGCCAAGGAGTGCTTGAAGCTGAACAGAAGCCGGCAACTCGGAAGAAGTATGGAAATCGACAAGAAATCGATTCCATGAATAGGCTCTAATAGAGTATGTTATTGGAAATACCAATTTTATTTCAATAAAGGGACGACTTTGTCGTCATAGCCTTGCTGTGTACTACCCTCACTTTTTCACATTGATTTGTATCTCTAACTCCTGATAGTTACCGAGCTACATATTGTTCATTGGAAAATTTTACAGTAAGTAATACTACTAAGTATTGCCCGAAGTTGCGTGCCGCTCGTCGCCAACCTTCGGTTGGCTCCTCACAGCACTGATAAAAGATAGATAGCAAGACATCGTAACCAAGGCGAAAACCTCGAATCCAAACAAATGCAAGCAAGTTGCAGAAAACTTTGGGAAAGGATACTGTACGTAATCAGGTACTCGGTCACATCAGGTACTCGGTCATCGCGAAATTTCTTGACGGTGAAGAGATATCCCAGCGAGATATTGGGCTCATTAGAAAGGGAGAAGTAGGAGCTACAAAATAATACAAAGGCTGTTTTTAAATTGCCCAAAATTTCTCCTTAATGACTTTGTGAATGCACAAAAGAGGTCAAATGCTTATTTTTGAGAACCTTAGAATGTGAGCTGCCATATCTCAACAACGAGGAGGTATGTTCCTTCCCTTTAAATTACTCCCTAAAGAATAATAAAAGTAGATTAATTTTTGAGAAGTATATCTCGAAGGTATTGCAGGTTATTAAGGAATCTGGGCAGTGACCGACTTCCCAGTAAATCCAGTAAAATGACTCGAGAATATATTTCTTACTTTTGGGCAGTCTAATGCTCAGTTATTGCATTTATTTGTTCAGATTCATATTTTTACGATCCTATAACACCTGTATGTACCATTTTTTCGTCGTGTGGAGTACAGAACTCAGTGAGCTACATCCAAAATAGGCTTTGGTGACCGAGTACCTGATTACGTACAGTAGGGCAAGGTAGTATTTGATCGTGTTTGACTCAAAGACATAAACCTTAAACCCAAACAAACAAGTTGCAGAAAACTTTGCGAAAGGATAGGGTAAGATTAGTGTTGGGCACGGGTGCCGACACCCGTGCGGGTTGGCGGGTACGGGTGTGGCGGGTGCGGGTGCGGGTGCACTTTGAGTGACCCTCAGCCAACCCGCACCCGTGCGCCTGGGTCATGGGTTTTCGGCGGCACACGGGAAACTCCGAAATGTGTCAAATATGTTCTTTAGTTACTTGAATAAATAATTATGTAATGTAGTTGCCAACATTTATTCTAATTCTAATTCAACATTGCACAAATTCTCACGATGTCCCCATCAAACCCGCACGGGTTTCTGTACCCACGGGTCCCGTGCAAACCCGCACCTGCAAGCACGGGATCCCATACCCGTGGCCACGGGTGCGGGTTTTGGCGGGTACGGGTGCGGGTCGACAAAAATTCACCCGCGGGTTACCCGTGCCCATCACTAGGTAAGATAGTATTTGGTCGTGATTGAATCAAGGACATAATCCTTGAAACCAAACAAACAAGTTGCAGAAAAGTCCTTCCTTATATAGTGAATTTAGACAGTGGGGAACCTTTCTGTTTCACAGCAAGGCCATAGAATTTGTTATCTCCTTCGTGTCGGTGTCGGCTTTAATCTTCCTTTACATGAACGGTGAACCCAAAGAAAACGAATGGACTTCAACTGGACTGGGCGCCGATTCCAAAGGCCGAAATTTAGTAGATAGGCAAAGAATTCATCTGCCACTACTGAATCTAGTCTTTGTGTATTAGGCGTTGGCGGAGGATCGCGGCGCTCCAACGGAAGAGGAACAAGTAAGATGATGATGTTATTGAAATCCTAACATCAAATGTTAACTTCTTTGCTAGTATATCGGTTAGTACACGCGCCTGTCACGCGCGTAAGCTGGGTTCGACTCCCAGGCAGGGAGTATTTTGCTCTTTTGTTCTTTACGTCCGACAGTTCAAAATCCGTACTGTATCCTTGGCTTAAGGAGTCAGGATACAAGGTTTATATGGATCAAGGCTCTGGACTCACAATTAGGAAAAATTGTTTAATTTGTAATGAATACTGTACCTTAGTAAATTTTGGGCGTCATTTTATGCTGGCAGGTAGGCGCCCATAAGACTCGCAAGATCTAATCTCATAGACGGTTCAAACCAAGTAGCTGTAACAATTTTTCTATCAGGCATATACATAATTTATAGATCTCTCGCGTCCCTGTAAGCAGTATACAAAAAATGGCTATGAATAAAGATCAAAATTCAACTTGAGGTGAGACTCGGATGGTTTATTCAAATTTGAGTGTATTTTACCAATCAAATGCTCATTCACAAGATGTGCCATAAGTAACTTCGGCAAAAGATAACACGGTACTTCAGTGGCATTGCTTCAGTGACATTGTACGAAAATATCCCTTTTAGGCTCACAGAGGCTACTGTACACTGGCAAGTACTCTAATGTCACTGAAAAGTCATTTCTGTATTGAAAGCTGAAGATATTTGTTTATGGTCATTGTCGGTTTTAACTTGAGATGAAATATATGGCACCCTGGCGAGTTATCTCAGTGAAACCATTACATATAAGCATACTTTATTGGGAAACAAAGAGGGGGAGACTGAGGAGAGCCAATAAGCGGCCTCAGGCCGGCACGGCGGCATGCACTCCCATCAACACAGCCACCGCAAGATTGCAAGGTTTTTGTAAACCAACCTCAACTTGAAATCCAGTGTCGAATGGTGATGACCTTACTCGAAAGTGCCCCAATTGCAACTACTACTAGCAGACACTCCTTGCTTCAGCACTATACTCAATGAAAACGTTCAACGACGGCTATATTGGACCTGCCTTCCGAGCTTCAAGTTTGCTGTTCGTCTCTTTTCCCGCGAGAGGTGATTCTCAATTTCTCACTCCCACATGTGACTTAATATTCCTACGTAAGGTCTTTCGTGGGTAAGTGCTGAGCGCTGGCGGCTGAGCGCCGAGTTTCTGTGGAACGACAGTTGTCTATTGAGCCACATTTCCATAAGCTCTTTGCGGTGATAAAACCCTGCATTGTCAATTTGAAGTGCTGCAAGGCGGCCGATTGACTGCAGTGCTTACGACCACGGATGTTGAATGGGGACAAGTGAGCGGACTTGGTGCGGTGAGTATCTCACATCGTTGACATATTGGATAGTTATCGGGAATGACGTCCGTCATTACCTTAGCGATGTCTCTGCGATGTCCATCCTGCTCCTCAAAACCCAATAGGCTACGATGCTCAAATAGATACCCGCCTCCGCCATCCGAAAGCCTTCTCCACGTCCCATGCCGTGTTCATGTGAGTTTTCACTCTGCAGGGATTTCAGTTCCCAGAAATTTCAATTGCCAAAGAAGGAACTCTCAATTGGAGAAGAACATTACAGAATCAACACTTCCATTCATCTTTTCTTATCATTTATGTTTGGGCTCTGGTACACTTGTGAGTGCTGCCAACGTCGATGAACACCTGCGGAAACGTCATTTCAACTTCTGCTTCCGGACCTCTTGTTTGAAGTTCTCTTCCCTTCGCTTCTCTATGACATCGGAAATGCTCCAGAAATATCTCAATATGGAACAACTTCACTCCGTATGTTTTTTGTGCTTCTATGGCTTCTGGAGAGGCCTCCGCTCTTCCCATGCTTGTAGCGTGGGTTTTGAAAGACCTGTGTCCCGCAGCGTCAAAAATACAATTCCGTCAATTATTACACTTTCAATGGTCCGTTGAACGCCGAACGGTTGAATGTACCTTTCTCGGTTAGCTAGGGTTTCCGGAATAGGAACAAAAATTCATGTCCAGCATCCAGATTCCACTGACAGATATCTTTGGTATGCTCTAGGTTGTCAGATCGCATCGAAATTATTGGACAACCATCCGCATTCTTTTGGCTGGAAGGCCGGAAGGCCTGCCTGATTGGTCTTCTGGGTTTTCCCTGATCCCACCACTGGTAGCCTAGAGTATATTAATGCATCGATTTTTATCTGTAACGACATTGCACCAAGTCACCCCGCAATGGCTCCCGTACAAGCCGAGTTCGGAGCAGCCCTTTTCAGCCTCGCACTGCCTTTGTACGTCGAGATCAACCAAACCTCTTCTTTGTCCTAATATCCTGACTTTAATTTCTAGGCTATCCTCTCTGGTATTTTCTGTGTCCATCGATGCGACAGTACTCGAGACTTATTTCCCCTCGTCAGCAAATAGGATCATTGATCACCTGGGGCTTACAGGGAGTACTATGTGTCCAAGTCTGTGAGTCTGCTCCGACTTTCGTTATATTACCATAGCTTGACCTCGTGCAAAGATAACTATTATTTAAGTTTCCCGAAGGATCCTCTGCACATGAAGGTGCTGGTGTACGGCTCCTTGATCCTGGAGTTAGTGCAGACCCTCATGGTGACGCACGATGCGTATGAAGTGTTCGCCAAAGGTTTCGGAGACATAACAGGCCTGAATGATTTGCACCTTCTCTGGTTCACGCTACCCATCCTTGGCGGCGTCGGTCAGTCGTCCGACATTCTAGCCTGACCTCTCCTGCTCGATGCTGATGACAAGTTGCTCGCAACATTGATACAGTCGGTTTGCTGTGCCATTTAACATTCGCTTATCGTATTTGTCTACTATCGGAATCAAGGATCACAGGAGGTGTGATCGCTGCCGTGAGTGATGGATCCTGTCACTGTGTGGCGTTAGCCTTTCTGCTCACACGGCCTCGTTTCCTTTTCATTTTGGATGCATAGCTGGCTTTGTGCGCTAGCGTCTCAGCTTTTGCATTCGGAGGAAAGCTCTTCGCTGCAGGCATCCTCTCCGAGTTGGTCAAAACCAAACACATCTATCTTACTTGTGGAGTAGGTCCAAATGCTCATGTCGATAGTGTTCGATGCTGATTCCGATATTTCTTTTGTTTTAGATGTGGAACGGATCTGGGGCGCTTTGCGATGTTATGATCGCCTCTTTCATGACATACTATGTGGGTGATTCCGCCACACTGACATTAGTATCATGTTTCTTGACAAACGTCTAGTTATCAAGAAACCATACTGGTTTCCGAAACACCGACTATCTCATTACTCGAATCATCCGTCTCACCATCGAAACTGGTGTCGCTACAGGTAAGAGGAGCCTTCCTGAGCACTGCATCTCCATCGACTAAACACTTCCTTTTCAGCGACTGCTTCTATCGCGAGCGTCATTCTATTCGTGGGCTTCCGCCAGAGAATAACCACCAGCGTGTATTTCATCGTGCCAGCCATTATGATCACCAAGCTGTATTCAATCACCATTGTGGCAACCTTCAACAATCGTCCCCACGCTGTCGGTGGACCGCCGCCCTTGGTAGACGTCGAAAACGGTTTTGATGAGAATAAAACGTATTCCCGCAATCTAGATCATCTAACTGGAGAAATCCGGATTGGACGCACGGTAGTCCAGCAGGTCTGGAAGGACGATGTGCCTCTGTCGCACCTTCATGTAAGCAAGCTGTTCCTTTCTGTAAGATAAACAGATTTCCTGAAAGCGATTTTATCTCCCATAGATGTGTGATGGAGAGAGCACGCCGTCAATCAAAGACGACACCGACTCTTCCAGGAAAGTGCAAGAGACCTTCACGCAGGTCAGAGAAGCTCCTCAGAAATTCTAGACAAATGCGGACAGCATGGCTGGTGCCAGCTGCTCAACACACTTAAATTTTGTAGCCAAGGACAACCTACTCTCAGCCAGCGAAACACGGGTCGATGAGCAAAAATTTGTACGATAATATTTGTATTGAAAGACATACTTTCACATCCATTGATCAAGACTTGAGTGAACGGAGGACATTAGTCAATCGTTCTTTCCTCATCGGTATCCACAATGTCTCTCCCCCAGCCGAAGTCGCCTGCGCGGACACAATAAGACTATGGTCCCTAAACTCTCCCAACAGCGCACGAAGCGCAGTGTCGCTCGTGGCATAGAAATTCTCTCTCGCCTGCATGAACAAATGATCGTATGCTATTCCGAATTGTTGCAGGTCGTTTGATGCGCTATCCTCTGCGTTTTCGATGTTTTCAAGCTGGATATTTCCGAGGAGTATGAAGAGCTTTTGGGCCTTCTGGGTGACAGACGCCAGGATATGTGACGCTGCGGTTTCGCTCATCGCGGTGGCGTTTTGCGCTGCAAGTCCATCGACCTTACGGCGTGCACCGCCTGCATGAGCGCCTGATAGCGAAGACCGATCGACGAATGCCAGTTCGAAGTCGTAAGACACGAGAGTGGTGAGGTCGTGCCACAGCCAAGCGAATCCTCGTGATGGAGTAGAATCAGCCTTGAGCTCGTCGGGCTTTCGAGAGAAAATCTCGGACGAGGACCATAGGAGGGGTGCGTTGATGTGGTCAATGGAGGCGATGATGTGTATTCGTGGATTGTGGGCTAGAAGTGCGAGTATAGATTTGGCTTTTGCGGTGCGGAAAGGAGAAGCGTCGATATTGTGGATGATGACGTAGAGGTGCACTTTTTGGGAGGTTTTGGTGAAGAAATCATGGATTCTGCGCGCTTGTCTGTCGACATTGGTGGAAGGTAACTCGAGGTCCTGCATACCGGGGATATTTTCTATTGAGTTCAACAGGTCTTTCAGATTGAAATCAGGTTGGAAACCGTTAGCGACGACAACATGACCCCGTTTGGCACAGCAATTAGTCGCGAATTGATTTAAAATGCGTCGTTTCGATCCTAGCCCATAGCAGACGATATTGAACCCTTCGTTCAGTTCGCAAATATACCGAGAAAACACGAGCTCGCGGTTCTTTTCTGAGAGAATGATCGGCTGAATTGGAGGTAGACCTTTCGATGCAGATCCGATTGCGTCTGCATATTCCTCGGGGCTCAGGGGAACAACAAGTTGAGAGTAAACGTTGGATGAAGTTTGGACTCGCCCG